CCCGTATTTGTTACTATGCATTGTCAAAATACAAGTGGAGGTACCAAAAATAGATGTTTACTCTGATCACCTCCAATAAAGAAATCGCAACAAAAAATCTCATTTGGGACACATAAATTGGTTCCTTTCTCTCCCTCCCAATCCGTCCCTCGCTGTCCTTCGTGTGGACTTCCGCGTTCTGAGACGTTTGTTAAGCTTTCGGCGCGTTACAAATGTAAGTTGTTGTTTTCTACTGTGGTTGCGGGAGTGTCAACTCGGCAATATTGAAAAGTATATTCTTACAATGTATATCATGACACAATTTCAACTGTGAACGCCAAAACGACGCGCACAGCTTTTGTCTGCTGTGCATTGCTGCTCCTTGTCATCATCGGATTCAGATTCTCCTCCGACCCTCACGTCGCCGTTGTGTGTGGACAAGAAACCACTGCAACAACGATTCATTTTAGTTTCACTCCGCCTAGGGTACTCCCCCCTCCACCCCTCCAACACAACCATTTATGATCATTGTAGTTCACTGAACTCGTGAACTTTAACGAATAACCTCAGCCTGCTTCCCTGATGCGTAAACCATCATAGCGCGAACTCCGGTCATCCTCGCACAAAGACGGTCACCGCATCATGCGCCGCTTTCAAATGCGCTTCTGCAGCTGTCTGGAAGGCTGTTCCTTCCGATTTTAGGAAGCCACTGGAGCTATGCACATTCAAATCATCTCGATTGAACTACTTTTTGTGTTCAGTTTGTTGGCTTTTCCTCCCGCACCTCCCACTTAGCACAGACGGCTACATACGGTGCGAAAGAAGTTCAACATACATAGGTGGGCGCCATCACCATTTTTTTTCATTCCAGAACCCAGAATTTAAAGTATATTCCAAAGAGGGGGGGGGGGGGGAGGAGAAGCAGCAGGTAACGTGTACTAAACCCAGAGCAAGACACCCTCAAATTGAGGGACCATCCGGGGTCGTCTGGCCTCACTGTCCTACCGTGGTCGGGCTAACGACCGGGAACCACCATCATTTCTGTCACCGCGGGTGGCACGCGTGTATATATATGTGTATATGTTGAACTTCTTTCGCATCAGCCAACCATGCTAAATCGAAGGTGCGTGGCAAGGGCAACAAAGGACAACAAACTAAAAGCCCATCATTTACAACAAACACTTCTGCAAGCCTTGGCGGTTCCAGTCCGCGCGGCGTATCTACAAAGAACACCCGTGCTTTTGTTTTTTTTTATATGGAAACTTCAAAATAAATATAGATGAACCGTAAACCACAATTTAATAACGGCAGGCCAGAATTTGTTTTTAGAGACTGAACAAACAACGCCGAGGCCTTTCTGGCTCGTATGTTTAGGAGATTTTCTTTTGGAAGGGCAAATCTAAAAGGCTGGGGATAAAGCGGCAAAATAGGCAACGTTGTTTGCTGACGTGCTTAAATCTGAGCGTCAATTATACAGCAGGGGATCCTGACCCTGGTAACCTCGCAGGAATAGCTGGCAGGAACCTGGACGCAGTCCTCAGCTCCAACAAGCAAGTTGGGACTTAAATAAATCTACGAGCGCCGCAGATTAAATCACGCAGTTACTCTATTTGCTTTCGTTGTTTGCCGCGCCTGCCGGCATTTTTTGCTGTGGCTATGGGGGTCAGGGAGCTGGAGAATCATATTCGGTGCCCGTGCATGTGCTAACCTGATGCTCACCACCGACACGGTATAAAGACAAAGATCCCTGGTATAGCCTTAACAGACTGTTGGGAGCAAGTGCTGTTAACAAGCATCTATTTAGGGAGTGGGTGACTAGCCACCACGCCCAGCCACGTTTGTCTCCTGGGTGCCAATCTTTACCCACCGCACCAGGCAAATCCCAGGACCGGTTCAGATCATCATCACCGGTGTTAGTCGCGAGCAGGAATCGAACTCGGGTCGCCAGGTTCGCAGTGCAGCGGCGATAACCGCGACAGGACCGCTCTCCCCATACATTGATGCCCACCTACACGGTAGTCTCATCATCAGCATCATCGTTGTCGTCACCAGCCATGATCAATCCACTGTTTGGCTCGATGAGCACCACCTCAATGCTCATTTGAGAAAAATCATTAATCATTTAATTGTTTTGATGAATTAATCGTGGGGTTTTTTGACAGGGGTAAGAAACATTCGGCCATCAGATGTTTGAGAAAAATAACCCACGGAGGACCAGCAGCGTATACATCATAACATTGCAGACATGGGGCAGCGTCTGCTACGCTGCAGACAACCAACACTGTACGTTTCTGAATGTTTCGTTAAGTTTCGTGCTGTTTTTGTGACCGTGACTTTCACGTGCACTGCATCGCTTGGTGACGGAGTTTCAATGGGCCCTCACCTGCTTTAGATAAAGTCGATGAAGGAATCAACGCATCTGAAGAGGGCACAGCTCTTCAATGGGAAACAACTGCGGAGCTTTCCACACACGCTCGTCTGTCTCACCGTCACGGTTTATATTCCACGCTCCGTTTTATTTATCCCATCGTGGGAGAAAAGGCGGCGCTCGCTGCTGCGTTCCCTGCCATTCGACGTTATATAACGCGGGCGGTCTCTAATGCCCCCCCCCCTGGCTCCTGCCTGCTCCCCGTCAACCAACACTAAGCGGCCGTGCCAAGCTGTGGCAACGAGGCGTTGGGCACGGGAGCCGGGGGATTTACAGGCACCGCGAGCGATGAAGGTAGACGAGAGACGGTGTGCTCGTGTCCACAGGCAAAATTGTCCTGGTCTCAAACCAGCGTGAGCCCTCTCTCACCTCGGTGGCTCACGCGCTGCCACCGTGCAACAGTTCAGAGCTCTGGAGAACTTTCTACACAGACCGGAAGTGCGTGTAGTGTATGTTAGGGCAACCGTGTGCGACACCGGCGAGGCTTGTGCCTCACGCAAAAGAAGGGGCCCCTGGGGGTTTCATTCACAAATTGGGAATCGTTTCCGAAGAGACGTTTGTATGTTCACCCCGTGTTCTGCGTGGGTTTTCCTCTGGCTTCACTCACATAACTTAAAGAAAACAATCTGTAGCCGCTATTTGGTAAAACAAGCCAGTGTTGAAAAATCACCGACAAATTACTCGATCGGGATTACACAGCAACACCGGACCCAATTGCGAAGACCGGACCCCTCACCTGCAAAAGAGGGTCGTGAGACTCTGTGAGGCTTTCCTGGGTAAACCAAGCATCACCTTCTTGGTTCTTTCGGTAAAGTCACGTAGAAGGGAAGTAATAAAATAATAAAAATAAAACATAATAAAATAAAATTATTCTCACGACGTTTCGGCTACAACGCAAGCAGCCGTCTTCAGGTGAAGAATGAGACACTGCCAAGCTAGGAGCTTATATATTGGCAGTGTCTCATTCTTCACCTGAAGACGGCTGCTTGCGTTGTAGCCGAAACGTCGTGCGAATTATTTTATTTTATTAAGTTTTTTGTTTTATTATTTTATTATTTCCCTTCTACGTGAGTTTACCAAAAGAACCAAGAAGATAAATCCCTGCAGTCACGAAAGCTTTAAATCGAAAGTTGCAACTTTACATATTTCAACAATAGTGGACATTATCTATTTATCTTACACATGGGGCGGCATGAATTTCAAAGAAGACCACAAATCCACCATTACATCACCCGCGTGCGTCTTGACTCATCCGTTTCGCGTGACATCAGCGGCATGGCTTGGCTTTTGCAGCGTAAAAAACAACCTGGCACCTCCTGAGCCACGCCGGGCTGGCTTGGTTGTAATTTTCTTTTGAAACATAAATACCTCCCGAAAGTTACTAGCCTCTGATTTTCTCAGGATAAACCCGACGACAATCTTAGCGGCAAACTCGGGAACGTGCAGCAACACCGCTGTAAATGTTTCCCTTTTTCGCTGAGCAGAGAAAAACAAGGGGCCACTATGCTTAATGAACAAACCTGCCTCAATTCTGTTAAGTGTTCTCTGGTTCTACCTACAGTCGAATGTTGATAAATCACTGCTGGGTAGGGATAAAATCTTTATTTCCTGCACGGCAGGCTCCAAGTTATTAAGCTCAGGGCAAGCCAAGCTTATGCAGCCAACTTTCACTCGGAGCAGAAATGCATTTACATATCTTTTGCCAAATTAAACTATTAACATAGTTGAAAAAATACATCTAATCAGACTAGACACTGCCCACACATTTGCACGGGATCCACAGCCAGGGTGGAGTGTGGGTGGGTAGAGGGGAGGCGTCAATGTCTGCGCGACGCACGAACCGAGCTCAACGCTGTGGGGATGTGGGTGACGTCATCGCACAGCCGGCCAGGAAGCCAGCGAACAAAACTTTGTTTTACAGGGACTCCTCTACTTACGAACGAGTTAGGTTCCAGAGGTTTGTTCGTAAGTCGATTTGTTCAACTTTACTCCTGTCAATTCCAAACATGTTGCCCGGCATTTACACAAAACAACAACACAACAACAGACAATGAAGGCGGCCCAGGCAGAAATTCTGGGAATGCTGGGTAATGACATCGAGCAAGCTCCGCCATCTGTTGCGTGGTGGTTGAACTTACGACTTTTGGTCCCAACAGGCAACTGGACATATGGACAGATTTTTTCGTATCTCTGAAAGTTTGTAAGTCCAATGTTCATAAGTAGAGGAGTCTCTGTATAATCGAGGTTTCCCCTCACTTTATGCGGGTTCAGTTTGTGCGATTTTCGCATATATATACATGCGGCTAACCGATTTCTTCCCAAAATTCGCTCAATGCGGTTTGAATTCACTCGCTTTATATGCGGCTATGCGGTCGGACGTGGGACAACATTATTTGTGTGTACTGTGTGCGCTACTCAGGCAGGCAGCTGTCTAGTGGGGTTTCACTTTGCGTGCCCTTTTCTTGGGACGCATCTTCCGTGTAAAGCGAGGCGAACCTATATCGCATGAAGTCTGATGGGAAACATTATATTTTTTACGTAAATATATAAATCATGTGCATATATGATCACTTCTGCTGTCTGCACAACGTACCATGTTACTGTCCGATTGGCTGTCCCCGTAGGTCACGTTGATCAGCCGTAATGCATCGTGGGTCGGTCCATCCTCCTCGAAGGCGATCTGCAGCGAGCTCTGCAACAGAAGCGACGTGAGGGAGCGGCGTTAAAATCTCGTGCCATGGCAGGCGGTCATTAATATGCTCAACCCGACAGACCACAAAATCGAGAACGGCGCAATGGGCCCCGACTGAAACAGTAAACCCGTTGGTAATTTTTGCAGACACATGGGACACGGAGGGAACAGCTTGCGCATTAGTGAGCATCGCAGGAAAAACAGCAGAGGTCTGAAAATGCTGTGCTAAAATGATGGCTCTCAGCATTAAATGACGTGTTTCCTGTTGTGCTTGCAAACACATTTGCTTATTTTTGGTTTGAATCCACGGCAATAAGGATGGCGGAGTGCAGGCGCAGTGGTTAGTGTATCGTGTTCTGCGAAGTCAGCGATCAGAGTTTCATACCCGGCCAGGGCGAACTTCAGTGGCTGAATTAAATGTGAATTGGTCCTGCACCCTCCAACCCTCCCCCCTAGCATCCCCCCCCCCCCACCGTTCCCACCCCTACCTTCCTGTGGTAAAATTTTGTTAAATAACACCGATGACTCACACGGGTTCGGGAAGCAGCAAAATAACACATTGCTGCAAATGATTACCTGTTTTCGTTATTCGCAGTAAGCATGAGAAACTCTTCAAAAGCATGGAATAAATAAATAAAAATGTAAATTTGCTACGTAGGAATGAATGGCTTCATTCATTTACATGCTCCTATCAGTCTAAAAATCAAACGGAAAATACAGCAACCTCACGATCGTTGCCGAGTAAAAGGGGTGGGGGGGGGGACAATGGCCCAGGCACATTGCTGTGAGCGAAGAACGATAGTTTGGCAAGTGTAGCGGCAGCTGAGAAACTGTTTTGTGACTGGGATACGAATGCGGGTGGGTCGCTGGAAAGCTTCTCACAGCTGGAGCATACAAATTGGACAGCACGGTGGCCAAGGGGGTAGAGACACAGGCAGGAGGCCCGCATTTAGAATCAACGTGCGTTTTAGAGTGCTTGGCTGATATAAATGTCCACGTTGATAAGCCACTTCGTTGAGGTATTATTTGTGGCCATCTTTAATCAAATGATGGCATGCATTTAGCAACTGCCTCTCAAAGTCCAACGAATGCTAGAAAGCCTGGAACATTTGCTAAAAGCCATGATATCCATCTAAATATTGAACAGTGAACATCAGTGAATCTATACCTGCATGGAACACAACATCAAGCCGGGCCCACTCAGCAGAGTGATCAATTACGTTAGAAATCACGCGATTTAATCACTTGCAATCGCTCTATCCACATCTGAGCGATACGTTTCAGAAGAATTAAATTGCACGGCGTATTCAGGGTTGCAATGACCGAACGTAGTTTGCAAATGCGTGCACTTGGTGAAATGCGTCGTCGTAAATCGACGAGCAGATTTGATGCTTGAAAATCGAGTCCGTCTCTACTGTAAGCAAGCAACTGGTTGTGCAACTGGTTGTGCAACTGCTCACAACAGGTTGCAGAGACATCCACACACAGGTGATTCAGTTGCATGCGGCCAACTTGCACGCATCACTGCATGCACCCCAGCTTCAAGCCTCAACACCCTTCCCCAAGTGCTTTGCATTGCCTGCGGTGTTATTATTTTAGCCCAGAGACAACAAACACATTTCTCCAACGCAAGTTCTAAACTTGCTCAACACAGCTTTAACCCAGAACCAAAGTCAGTTCAGAATAAGACTACAAGGAGGTAAAGGCACAGCGCTGCAATTGCTTGCTCACACGCCACTGCTGACAGAAATGTCTCCTCTAGAGACGGCTAAACAGAGCCTCTCTAGATCAGTGTTCTTCACCAACTTGCAGAGGGGTGGCCACTTTCGCCGATAAGACATCATCAGTGCGAGCGCCGCCACACCACTTGAAATCATTGGGGTTTGACAGTAGCACGATGATGCTGCGTGGTGTTCTCACTATTTGTGTATTGTCGGAGGCCGCACTAAAGGCCACCAGGGGCCGCCAGTGGCCCGCGGGCCTTGCAATGAAGAACGCTGCTCTAAGGGGTATAACACCTGCTCTTCCATGCTGCCCCAACATGATGGAGAGGTGGGTGTACCCATACTTTTGTAGAGAAGTTCCGACGGACGCACTCGGAGACGGAGGTAAGTTAAGGGCTATCGCCAGGGTTTATTAAAGCTGTTACAATACTACACAGCAGGGTACACAACTCCCAGGGGCTAGGGGGGTCCTACTCCGAGTCCGGGTCCCTGCCGGCTAGCTCCGGTCTCTCTCTCTCGTGTCGGATCGTGGACTCTGCCGACTCCACCGAGCGAAGAGAGAAGGACCTCTACGGCTAACACCGGCTTCTCCCCAGACTCACCACTCGATCCCTCTCTCTACCCCTGGTTCCCTCTTCACCCTGTTTACTCTACCCGTTCCCACAGTGACCCCGCTTACGTCCCGGGGTATCCCTTAAGTACCCTAGGAGACGTGACGTCATCGCACTGAACGGCACACCTGACGTCATGTCCCCATTTTACTCCTCTACACTTTTACCCTCACCACACACGACCTGCAGATCGACATTGCTGGGTGGACAAAGGTGAGGGGTTTAAATAACTCACACCAACGTTTATTTTTGCATGTTGGAAACTGTAACAATGTCTCTTTGGAAGGTACATAGCAAATAAAAAATATAGCAACGTGGGAACTCAAGCCCCTTGGGTGAAGCTATCGACACGTAGCAAAGACAAAGGTCCCCCCCACCCACGTATAGCCTCAACAAACTTTCGGGTCAAGTTCTCTTAGCAAGTAGCCCCTAAAAAGGCCTGCACGACACACGAAGGGGGAGGTGGCCACCAGCACCATGCCTGTGGTCACATCTTCCCGCGCACGTGGTCAACATCCTCACGAAATACCTCGCACGTTGGGAGGAATTGAATACACCGCTATTCATAGCCTCGGACTGGATGTTCGACACAAGTGCGCTCTGCTGCGTTCAAGATGTGCAAAACACAATACCCACCAGCGTCAAGCGTGCAAGCGGGAACGAGGATTATAATAATTAAGATAATTGCAGAGGGTCGTGTTCTCCGTCTTGTAATTGTGCTGTGAGAAGAAGCATGGTTGGATTACGGGAATCGTGCCCATGGCTATTGCTGAACAGCAAACCGGCCACCAGGTAGGTGAAACACAGTCACGAGCAACACAACAATTACGTTCATCCAGCAGCATAACGCAGAAATATTAGCTCATGATAATAATATCACAAGTGGCGTCACGGCGCAGAAATCAAATCTGTACTCGACGAGAAACACCCCCATATAACAGAATAAGTGCAGGTCGGAAAACCCAAACACCACAATGCACAAGAAATGCACAATAAAAGAGGCAATTTTACCATATAAGACCACAATGCACTAGTTCAGGAACTGCTGGTGGTTTTTTCGCATATGCACAGTGGCCGTGCGTGACTTTTACACGTTTTTACTTGTTGTTTCAAACTTACGGCACAGAAACTATAAAGGAAATTATTTCTTGTTTGTATTTATAATGGCCTGGAAGAGTCGTTATCGCCCGCTTCAGATCGCGTTTCGCAAATCCGCTCTCCGGGGACATCCGCAGGCACTCGTTCATATCGGAGCTGGACGGAAAGAAAGAAAGAATATCGATGGTGGAGCGGACGAAAAGATGTGACACGTGATCACGGAGTGTGGTGGCAGCCAGCGGGCAGCGGCGGGGGCTTGCCCTGCTTGGCTGCCCAAAGCCACTTGCCAGGCGGCCGCTCTCCAAAAGCGGCAGCTGTGCACATGCCAGCTGCATTATATTAGGACCGTGCTAGAAACTCTGGATTCAAAGAGGGCACTTCTACTGCCGGCCACAGTGGCCACACACAGCAACAACACTAGCATTCTTTGTTCGCTGCACAAGCATTAATAACCAGTCGGTGGAGGGGTGGTGGGGGGGGTCTGATGGGGGGGGGGGGACAACTATCGGTTGGATCGTTAACACAAACATTAGCATTGTGTTCGGTTCTGGCGCAAAGAATATCGCTTACTAAATAAACAGCAGAAACCGGAATGAGAAACAATGTTGTGAAGTGGGGGTTAAAATGGCTGGGTTTGCACTGTGTGGTATTTACAGAACTGGATATGAGAACTGGATATGAAAACCGGGCATGCTTGTTTCTACGCATGTAACTCTCTGTTACGTGCGCATTTATACCGGAATGCATGACGGTTCACTCCCAAAGCGAGCGTACTCAGGAATTGGGGGGCCGCTAACGAATTCAAGAATCCAGTCTCTTTGTTGCCTCCGGTTTTTACGGCCTCATTTGTATTTTCTCGAACTGTCCGTCGCGTTTGCGCGGATATGTCCGCCTCCTAAGAGTAAATGCAACACGGAGCAACGCACTTGCATAAGGGCTCCACAATGGCTATGAGATGTTAACTACCTCGCCTAGTATACAGGAGGCCGTGGGTTCGATCTCGACCCTGACGCCTGCTGTGTATTTCGAGTTTGCATGTTCTGCCCGTGGTCGCGTGGATTTTTCCATGCGTCCTCTGGTTTTTCCCTCCGGGGTTTTTGTTTATTTGGCTTCTATACATTTCCGCATGATAAGCCACTTCGATGAGCTATTGTTTGTGGCCAAGTCGCTTCTGAAAAAGTGCCATGTAGCTCAGCGGGCCCTTACCTTGTAACTAAATAAATAAATCGTTCCTACGGATCATGAACACCTCATTCTCAAAGCACGCACTCCGATTCGAGCGCCAGCGCTAGAACCGACTGACGCATCTTCACATCGTCACATGCCCAGCATGCACACTTGGTCATGCACGTTTCCAAAAGGGGGGCAAACTATGTCCTTCTTCACTTTCAGCCTCGGGAGCGGTACACATCTCGAGTAATCCCGTCAATCAGCGCAGGAAATAGAACACAGCAGGTGCCAACACATTGCCGAAGCTCACCGACCACCACGCGGACCCCCGTGTCCTACGCAGTCCCCCATAAATCTTTGTGTGTCCTGAAAGAAACTGACCTAGGGCTCTTAACGC